ATTTACTAATATTAAGCTCCCAGAATTTTGTGAAAAAAAAGAAAATGAAACTATTTTCCCGGATTTAAATCGCGTATTTTTATTTTTTCAAAGTCAACCATGACTTTGGGACCTGTGGGGTGATTCATGTAATCAAACCGTTACGATATCGTAGCGATTTAGTCGTTGAACGGCTTTTTCGTATTCACGTGTGACAGTGAATGTCAACGAGTCCAATTTTAAAGTCGTTCGATCCAAATGTTGTTAAAGCGTCTATTGTGGTATATGAATCGAATTTGAATCGACTCTAAGTGACAAGTCATACGTATTCTGCTAAAATCTTGACAGTTCTTTCATATAGACTTATATATAATAGACTTTCGACGACTAGATGTCAAATTTCACAATCCAAGATGTCGTTCATTAGTCGTTACGTTTCGATTCAAGTGATACGTGAATACCCATTTTGGATAGGACTTCGATCGAACGACTACGTAACTTCAACGATATTTTGATAGCTTGAACTTACGTGAATCGAACTACTGTAAAGGGCCCGAAACGTTGGTTTATTTAAAAAAATAAATATACACACGATTTAAATCCGGAAAAATAGTTTCATTTCCTATGTGTAACAATCGCGAAATTCTAAGAACTCGATTAAAAATAAAGAGACAAAAAACCAAAATAAAAACAGAACAGGTCCAAGAATTAAGATTGCGTAGTGTTCACTGGAGGTTCCTATTTGTATGGAAAACTAATAAAAGTATGAAAATTAGTACAGTACAGTAACTGCTCACACTGCTCGAAGTACTTATTCTACGCATACCAAGTTGCGAGAACCAGCTAGTTCGAGATAACGTTATTCTTTATTTTTCTAATCTTTTGTTTTGTAAATTTCAAAAATCAGGCTTCAGTTAACGTATTACCCAAACACCGGAGAGATGTAATATAGCTTAGAGACTCTGGATTGTAACTGAGTAAGTTTACAAAAAAGCAAGTAATGGAAAGCGTGACCCGGCAAGTTCGTAGTCCGATTTGATGGCCCCCACTGTGATCTGTGGTTCCGCAAAGGTTTTCAACGCTTATTGGAGCACAACAGACACCTGCTAATCTGTTCCCTAGCTTTACAATTCCGTCATCGTCTATTTTTTACTGCCTTGGAGTACCATTGACGACGAAATAGATGGATAGAATTCCACATCCAAGCACCAAAACAGCTAACATCAAGTATTTTTAGATTGAACTCCTTCCGGAACCGGAAGGGTTTTTGTGAGCGAAGCTTCTAATTAGTAATTAAGTTTTTTTTTTCAGTATTTTGGTCAATCAAAAAGATAATCTATATATGTTCATTAACATTGACACGGGAACAAAAATATAACAAATGCTATTTTATAAATCCAAACTGCAATATTATGACCTAATAATTATAAAAAAGCCGTATTAGCCTAATAGTTTGACCTACCGCCTCTAAGGGCAGAGAGCTATGGATTCAAATCCAGGCTTGCACCACAGACTATTTCGGAATTTATGTGCGAAGTTTAATTGGAGCCCCACAAGATTTTCGGTGAAAGAAACAACCATAAGGAAACCTGCACATATCTATAAAGTAATTTCATGATGTGTGTAAAGTTCCCAATCCGCATTGAACCCGCGTGGCAAATACAGCACAAGCCCTTTGTGCAAGATGAGACCTGTGCCGAGCAGTGGGTCTATATAAACTAACAAAAAATATTTAACACTTTTCGATAATCAGATTACAATCGACATATTAGGGTGGAGTCACATCAGTGTCACGGCAAATACGTCGTAACTGCAGATGAAATGTAGTCTTAAAACATTTTTATGCAGTCGGCGCGACTTCGTCAGACTTAGAGAATTAGGGAAAATTTAAGAAGACTTAAATAAAGTCGATATAATAGTGGCTCCAATATTATATTGCTACGTTAGAACTTCAAATTGAGCAATATATTTTTTCGTCAATTTTCAAATAAAATTTAGCCTTCCATTTTGGGTTTGGGGTCTCATCATTTTTAATGAAATCAATCAACTAGGTGGTAATAATAGGCAATCGCACTAAATCGGTTCCTAATTCGAAACTTTAATCCTACTTTTTTGTAAAAATACAATTTTTGGTGCGTTTTTATTGTACAGTAGAAGATTAAAAATGATTAATTGCCGATGAACCAATTAAAACTATACAATCCTAATAGCGAACTTTTATTTTTAGTGCCAATTTTCATTGTTCAGTTTTGAAGTGAGCGTGACTGCGAAAATCGTTGGGAGGCAAAAAATATGCGTCGTATGAAACGGTAATAATTTTAGCATAAAATTGATTGGAAATCCTCTATTCTTCACACGAGGCAGCCTTCAAACCGGGGACCGTTACAAATGGCCTGTGCTAGTGATGTGTGAAAGGTTATTCAAAGAGTGAACTATCTCGTACATTCGTGTGAAGATGTTGAAACGTTTATTAATAATGTGATTAAATGACAATAGATAGTTGCACTGTGATTTGTGATGCATTCGATTAATTTAAAGATCAAATATCGAATATTTAAAAATTCAGAAGCTTAACTAAATCATAATTTAAGATAAAATCCCAGGAGTAAGGTTCAGCAAACTCAACTGATTCAAATCGTTGTTATTCCCATCTCTATCAAAATGATCGGTTTCTAAATTGAATATTGCGCCTTCACAGTGGTGCCAACGTGACAAATATACCAATTAACTTACTATAACGTTGCTTGTTCTGCGAATTTGCAACAGGGCAGCCAATATTGGAATTCCATTTTTGATTTTAGCTAACACACTGTTGCATTATTTGTACTATGAGTGTGACTGAGACGAATAATCATATTTTCTTTTCCAATGTAGAACGAAATTGGCGCAAAATCGCAAATTGATTTTTCTATTGATCTGTGAAATAAGAATAGGGTAGGCCAATCAGAGAATATTATGTATGTACTGCCTGAGTTGGAAAAATATTACAAAACTAAAAATTTTAGAATTTTATTTATATTTAAGTTCAGAACACTGGAACAACTTTATTGATGATATTTAAATATAATTTAATTAAGGAACTTTTTTAGAAATTAATTAAGATAATAAATTGCGTATTATTTGAAACAAAAAAAATATGTTTAATAAAATTGCCGTGTTAAGAAGTTTCGGGGTAATTTAAAATAAGTAAAAAGAAATAATAATACAAGTAAAAGACTATTCTTCAATACAGTAAGAGGAAAAAATCCGATAATACACTTAGAATAAATGAAATAAAATGTATTAAACAAAAGACCTCAGCAGTTCGCGAGTTATCAGGGTTCACCTGGTATTCACCACTGGAGACGCCGTATTATATAAATATAAAAAAAAATTCAGAACATTCTAAGCAGTATAAAAACAGGTCCTCACTAAATGAAGTATATAATAAAATGTTAAACTTTAAATAGCATACGACCTTGTGGCTAAACAAGTAAAGAGCATTTTCCAATTTACGTGTCTAACACAAGACAGTCAAGAAGGTATACCTAAAATAGTATGGTCAGAGATTAAGTTTCACGTTGTAGATAATATGTATTAAACTCTATATAAACCAATGAGGACATTGTAAAGCACGTATTACCATCGCGTCTAAACCAAACACACGTGTTAAACTTCGTATCGTCAGCACGTTTCGTGCTGGGCTAAGTAGGATCCTACCCTACACTACCTACACTTATATGATTTTTAAGTAATGTTATGATGTTTTACTACCATGATATTTAATTTTTTTTTTTTGTGAAATTGCTTCACTAATTTGTTATAATTATTAATTACAAAAATAGAAAACAAAGAAAAATTTCTTCGATGTGACAGAACTCGAACTAGTTTCTGTTCTATTGTCTGGTGGACTCTAGATTCGATCTGTAGCTTCTCAGTTGGTAAAGCGGTTGCCTTTAATTAGATAGATTGGCAAAAATAGACTCAAGTTTGAGTCCTGACGGATCGAAGGGGTTTTTTAGTGTTCGGTCTCGCTTTTAATATACCTACTAAAAATGATAATAATGCTG